TATTTTAATAACAAAAAGACAAAATAAATTAAAAAGTCATTAAGATAAAATGTCACATCTAAATTATAATTGTTTTATTTTTTCTCTCACAAAAATCAAAAAACCTATTTCAAACGAGACTTTTTAGTCCCTAAACAAAATAAAAAATCAACCCATATCCCAAATAAAGGTTTACTGTGGTCTTGGCTATTATACCACATCACTCTTTTTGGGACACTTATATTATAATTTGATAATTTTATTTTAATAATACAGAATAAAAATTGTTATTTTATGTACTTTTTCATAAAATATCAAATAAAAATATTATTTTTGAGTCAACGTGAGCTATAGAGAGAAACAACATTGCCAAGACCTAATTTAAGAATTGATTATTTTAATTAATTTTTTATATTTTTTATTAAAAATATGTAGAAAATAAAAAAACGTTTTGATTAAATATCTATCATTCCAAACAAATCCTAAATTAGATTTGGATTTTGCACTTTATTGGGATCATCTGTGACTGAGGCTGTGTTGGGTTTTCTCACTACCGGATTCTTATTCAAACCGCTCAACAAAACTTTTATCTGCCTTATTCCCAAAACGAAGAGTCCCATGACGGTTCATGATTATAGGCCTATCAGTTTATGCAACGTGCTTTACAAAATAGGCGCTAAAGTTCTGGCTAATAGACTTAGTCTAGTGCTGCCGGATTTGCTTGCTGATAATCAGTGTGCTTTCTTGAAGGGTCGTCTTATATCCGATAATATTTTGTTGGCTCATGAAGTTATTGAATATATTAAAAAGCGTAACAAACAGGGGAGTTTGTCCTCTTTTGGATTAAAGTTGGATATGAATAAAGCCTACGATAGAGTGAGTTGGGCTTTCCTTGAAGCGGTTATGGCTAAAATGGGTTTCTCACCTAAGTGGATTCAATTAATTTCTCAATGTGTATCTACTGTTCAATTTGTTGTCTTGGTTAATGGCACCCCATCGGATTTTTTTAAACCTGCTGCGGGTCTGCGGCAAGGCAACCCCCTTTCGCCGTATTTGTTTTTATTGGTAATGCATGTCTTTTCGGAAGGATTTGCGCATTTGGCGTCTCTTAACATCTGCCGTGGTATTGCTATTAGTCGTCAGTCGCCCCCTATTTCACATTTGCTCTTTGCTGATGATTGTTTTATATTCCTCAACTATAAGATAGAAGAAATTTGGTGCTTCCATTGGTTTTTAAATGCTTTTTGTCACTACTCCGGGCTGCGTATTAATTTTCATAAATCGGAGCTTTATCTTAGTCCTAATTTTTCACAATTGGCTAGGGACTGGCTGGTTTCTCTTTTTGGAGTTAAAGTTGTCCCAAAACCCGGCATCTATTTGGGGGCTAACTTGGGTTTCTCCGGGCGCTCAAAGTCGGACATATTTACTTCAATTCTGAGTAAAGTTAGCCACAAGTTACAAGGCTGGAAGTGTGATTTTTTAAATTTTGCAGGTCGGGGTATTTTGGTCAAACATGTCCTTCAATCCATTCCGGTGTACCTTATGACTGTGTTTCGCATGCCTGAATCATTTCAGCATAAGCTTACGTCTCTTATTCGTCAGTTTCTTTGGGCCTCTTCCCGGGGTAACGGGATTTCTTGGAAAAAATGGACATATCTGTGTCTCCCAAAAGACTGGGGGGGATTGGGTTTTCAAAATCTTATGTGTTTTAACCAAGCTTTGCTAGCTAAACAAGCATGGCGGATTCTATCATGTCCCAATTTATTACTTTCACGAGTGTTGCTTGGTAAATATTGTCAACGGCGTTCTTTTCTTGACATTCGCCCATCTTCGTCCTCTTCATGGGGATGGCGGAGTATTTTATGGGGCCGTTCGTTACTTACCTCGGGGCTTCAATGGGTAGTGGGGAACGGACAACGTATTAACCCATTTGAGGATCAATGGATTCCGATTGTTTCAAATCCTTGTAGAGGCCGAAGTTGGACTGCTATTTGTCCTGGGTTAAGGGTTGCACATTTCATAGATCCCTTGCTGCGGTCTTGGCGTCTTGATATATTGAAATTGTTTTTTCCTCTTATATTGTATCAATGCACATTTCTCAAGTTGATATTGAGGACAAAATGGTGTGGAGACCGACCAAAAGTGGCAAGTATTCAGTCAAATCGGGTTATAAGCAAGCGTTAACCCGACAGTTTCCCGACCATTCTAGGCCTGATCTGGATTGGCAAGTTTGGAAACGCTTATGGCAGTTCAAGATCCCCCCTAAATGGATCTTGTTTGTGTGGAAATGTCTTCATAATATTCTTCCGGTTAAAACTGAATTAAAGAAAATGGGGATGCCAATTGATATTATTTGTTCCAGGTGTTTCCAAAATGCGGAATCCATTGAACATCTATTTTTTGATTGCCCCATTTCACAACAGATTTGGCGTGGGTCAACTTTGGGTTTAGATTTTGGGGTGGGAAGACCTCTATCCTTTTTCTCATGGTTTCAAGGCTGGGTGCAACAAATACATGACTCGGAGATTGTAATACATTCCATTGCTTTATTATGGGCCATTTGGATGCAACGTAACTCTGTAGAATTTCATAGAGTTGAGGTGTCCATAGAACGATCAATCATGTTTGCTTCCGAGTTACTAACATTATTTCTTTCACCCCTGCACAATGTTCCCTATGAGATTTCTCACTCTAGTTCTTCTCCTCAAACCAGTTTTGTTAAGCACGTTATTTTACAGAATGCTAAGCCTTGCATTGCTGCTGGTCCGCGTATGCGTATTGTTGTGGATGGCTCTTGGGTTGCTGTAGGTGAGCGCACTGGTCTGGCGTGGGTTTGCTTCGATTTTGATGATCACCAAGTCTATGAGGAAACTATTTTGGGACCTTCAATGTTATCTCCTCAACAAAATGTTATCTCCTATAAAATATCTTTTTTATTAAATTTAATGATTAAATTACTTATTTTTTTATTCATTTTATTTAATAAAAATAGACAAATAATTTATTTTATGTAGGAGAATATATTTTTTTTTGTTTTACTCAATGAAAATAAGTGAATTATTTAAATTAAAAAAATAAAAATATTAGAGTTTAAATTAATAAAATTAAAAATTTATTTTGATATAAGACTAAAATCTTGAAAAAAAAATTATAATTGTTTCAAAATTTATTTGTGTCTAAAAAGTTGCTGTTTTATAAATAAATTAATGTAATATTTAATTTTTTTAATCTAATAACAAACAGTGTAATTATTTTTTAACTTTTTTTTACTAGGTTGCCAAACAAACCCCCCTGTTTTGCAATTTTCGTTCGGCATGAAGGTCTGGGTTGACTCGGGTTTGGCTATTTTAATCACAAAAAAAATAAAATAAGTTAAAAAGTCATTAAGATAAAATGTCACATCTAAACCGTAATTATTTTATTTTTTCTCTCACAAAAGTCAAAAAACCTATTTCAAACGAAACTTTTAGTGCCTAAACAAAATAAAAAGCCAACCCATATCCCAAATAAAGGTTTACTGTGGTCTTGGCTATTATACCACATCACTCTTTTTGGGACCAAACAAAGGTTTACTGTGGTCTTGGCTATTATACCACATCACTCTTTTTGGGACACTTATATTATAATTTGATAATTTTATTTTAATAATACAGAATAAAAAATGTTATTTTATGTACTTTTTCATAAAATATCAAATAAAAATATTATTTTTGAGTCAACGTGAGCTATAGAGAGAAACAACATTGCTAAGACCTAATTTAAGAATTGATTATTTTAATTAATTTTTTATATCTTTTATTAAAAAATATGTAGAAAATAAAAAATAAAAAACGTTTTGATTAAGAATCTATCATTCCAAACAAATCCTAAATTATATTTGGATTTTGCACTTTATTGGAAAAACAACTTTTCCATTTCAATTATTATTACTTAGAGAAGGAATGCAAAAATGGTTCGCAGCTCATAGGCAGCTCGAAGCCCGCCCGCGGTCCAAAGTGGGCCCAATCAGTTTGGACTTGGACCCAAACCCAAGCCCAACCCAAGTCTCTGGGCCATCATTTTGAAGCCCGATCCAACCCAACCCAACCCGTGGCCCAGTCTATCGACCTCCATCAAACCCACTCAAGGCCTGCCTTGCCCGAGACCAGTGTATTTTTTAATAAAAAATAATAAAATTTTAGTATAATTTTTTTTTTTTAAAAAAAGAAAAAAAATAGTTGGGCCTGCCCAAACCCGAAGCCAAGCCCAAGGCCCACCAACCCACCCAAGGCCCAAATACCCCTGAATTTAGGGGTAGACCTGGGCTTAATTTTTTAACTCTTGACCTAGCCCGGCCCAAAATTTTGATAAAAACCCACGAGTCTCAACATAGGCCGAACCAGGATTACACCCATTATCTTTACGCTAATAGTGTACTGATAAATTTAAAAATATAAATTTTAATTTTAATTTGAAAGAACACAAGTGGTAAAGGCGAGTATACCAAACTGAAGGTCTTGATCACTTTCTCCCTATAGAATTTTGTATTTTAAATAGGTCAGAAGAAAATTTTTAAAAATCAAATGTTATCAACATCTTAAGCCACAATTTAGATCCTTAAATTTATCTACAATGATATAACAAGAGAGATAAACCCTACATAATTAAGTATATGAAAAATTAAAAATTAAAATGTATCATTCCGCAATAAATCTTAAACATCTTCTTTCCTTTTATAACATCTTCTTTCCTTTTATAATAGTATAGATATAGATAGATTATTCTTATTTATTTGTCCAAAGTGATGAATTAGTGAAAACCTATAACCAAAACATCCAAACCCGAGTAGGTCAATTGAATGGTTTATCATTGTATATGGCTTAAATTCAATTTAATCAAGTCCATTAAATTAAGAGAATACATCAAGGTATAGGATATGCTGAAATTGATCTCTTTTCAGACTGCAATCAGCAACATGAATAGATAGATATGAACCAATACATGCCATGAAATTGCACAAAACTTTTTGCAATCAACCAATATGAATAGTATGTTCAACAGTTGTATCACAAACAAATAGAAAGTGTAACAGTGACACTATCCTGAGTGACACTAATAAAATACCACAAATGAGATTAGTTAAACCTCCCTTACTTTCCACTAACCCAATCATGTAATCCCCATTACCTCCTTTGTACCCAATCTTACGGTGGGTAGGGGGGGGCTACACTTCAATAAATCAATGAATCAATATGCTAAAGGATGAGAAAGCAAGAAAGGAGGGAGATTTGAAAACAGTAGAAATTAAGCTCAATCTTGAAACTCCCAATATAAACATTACACAAAAGTGCATCACAAAATAGGCTAATAAAATCCAACGGTAGTTTGTCCTAATTTACCAACTTCCATCACCATCCTCAGCATAAAGAAGTGCAGGTACATCAACATCCATGATAACTCTGCCCCCTAAGCCCAGGAGTTCGATAACAATGAAATTAAAAGAGATTCACATGAAGTCCTACCACTTACCAATAGTCAGCTGCTAGTTCTTCAAAATCAAGCCGGATGGTCTCAATGCCTTCATTGATGTCGTTCATGGTTGACTGCAAGGAAACAATCTCAGAATCCTTAATCTTCATTGTCGACATAGCCAATGCACGCTTTTCTTTTAACTCCTTTATCTGCTTATTAATCTCATCAATCTCTTCGTCAATTTTGCTTTTCTCATGACTGTGCGCCATAATCCGACTTTCAAGTTCTTTCGACTGATCCTGAAGGAATTCCTGCTTGTCTTTTATCAGAAGCAGCCCAGTCAAACGATCTCGTAACATCTTAACATCAAATCCATGACCTTCCAAGTCCAGAAGAGTTTCCAAACAGTCCTCAATTGAGCTCCTTGGCCCATCAAATTGCAACTCGGTTGTCTTCTTTACCACACTGGAAAAGGTTACCATACAACCAATAGCTAATCCTTCACGAGCGCTTTCTTTACAACTTTCCAAAGGACGAAAATGTGGATTTTGTGGCATCGATTGAAACACATCCATAGATTCAATTGTTTCCCAAAGAGGAAAGGTCTTCACAAAAGGCAAGTTTTGATTTGGAACTGACAAAATGTTCCCATTGCCATCAACTGTAGCAGCTCGCACTGCAATTTCCATTTTTCTTTCACTTGTCACAGTACATTGCTGGGCCGTCCTACTAGGGGAAACTCCTGAACATTAAACAAATATTGTCAAACAAGCGCTAAGTCGCATAGACACGGACACGCAACATGAAACAAACATGTCAACACGGTGGTTTTCAAAAAAAATTCAAGATATGCGAGGGATACACTAAAGTTTCATATTTTTATAAATTAATTATATGACAAATATATCAATAGTTTACCTAAAGGTAATCAGAGAAAAGTAGCATAACACTAATCAAAATTAAAGACATATATTCCTTAACTTAGATATCAATGAATTCACATAACAATTGAATTCCAAATAATGCAAAACAATTGTAGAACATTGAAATACACAAGATATGTTCACCTTATAAATTTTTCAAACCATATTTAGAGTGCACAAGTTGCAATCCAAAGAATGCACAACATTCTACCTATGAAGAGATTCATCACATAAGTTGTGTTCAGATGGTTCAATAAGTATCACCAAAATGTCTGAGAAGAGTCCGGTAATATGAATTTAAAATTTTAATTCAGACATGTTGAAAAAGTGTCAAACACACTTTTAAGAGTGTCCAGACAGTGACATATTGTCAGACGCAACACGCCTCCTCCATAGAAGTGTCCATGCATCTTAGAACAAGCAAATAACTGCAATAGAGAGTGCAGTAAAACCATACACTAGCTTACTTGAGCCATCAACAATCGTTGGAAAGTGCATACCCCCAAGCCACGTTGATAGAGGTTGATCATCAGACACATTGCTGGGTACTTGATCATTAGCCATTCCAACTTCTTTCATCCTGCTATCTGTTGGGATACCTTCATTGCTTTTCACCCTGGATGCCTCTTGAGAATCTATAAAATGCCACAAGGGGGGATTACTTCCAGACCACATAATTACACACAATACAGATTACATTTGTTAAGGTTACAATACCACGAGTAAACCCCATCATTTCCTATGCATGCACTGTCACTTTTACCTCGGGAACTCAATGCTTACCTTGAATCAGTGATTCAATATTTACAATTGTGTTCCGTCTTCTTCCCCTCTTTGATGAAGGCTTCTCAAGTAGCTCACTTGATGCTTGCATAACCTTTTCATTTGGCATTTTATCCTTTTTTACAGGGGGCGTTTTCATCATGCTGCTTGATATGTTTTGGCGCCTTGTTGGACTATTAGGAAGCTTCTTAGACTCTGCCTCCGTTATTGTAGGCAATTCAACTTCTTCTGTAATACAATCTTTCACAATCATTTCATCAGCAGCAACTACATCTCCATTTTGCTTCTTATCTACAATTATAATGCACAGTTTCTCACCAAAAAAGAAATGTCATATCTACAAAAGCATTGTATAATAGAGGGGTATTATGATATACCAGTCAATGAAGCATTGGGGCTTTCCCTCGGTAATTTAGGTGGTCTTCCCCTCTTCTTTTTTGGAATGTCCTCTCCACTTTTTAATTGATTAATCTCCTGCACCAGAAAGAACCAACGCCATCAGAACAATGCAAGTCAAGTACCAAACAAAATGAATAGAATATTAATTTTTCTGTAGCTGGACTCTCAATTGGTATTATCAGGTGGCGTCAAAGCCGTATGCACCAATTTAAATTGATCTACAAACAACTTGAGCTGATAACACAGATCCAATCAGCCAGTGGGGACAAAAAAAAAGTAACAAAGAATTGATAGTAAACTTGTAATTAACACAATAACTTTTTCTCAGTATAATATCAGTCCCAATCATATTTACACCATTACATACATAGTTTGAATCCTGGGATGCAATTTTCTTTTCTTGTTCACAGAGTCCTCCCATCCTCCTCTCCTAATTCCAGCTGTGATATTAGGACCCTGTAGATCCTTAGCCACAGAGTCCTCTGATCCTCTTTCCCAGGCCTGACTTTCTCCAACATTAAAAATGATTTTGCTAATGTAGATTCTAGCCACAGTGTCCTCCGATCCTACTCCTAAGCGTAACTTTCTCCGACACTAAGAATAATTTTGCTAATTAGCGAGCAAATCTATATAGGATGTCAACAAGGACAATGTTAATATGGTTCTTATGGTAGATTTCCTTTAAATAATTCATTTTTGCTTCAAGGAACATAAATCCACAGTTTAATAAGAGAAAACAACGAATAAAAGAAAAGGAAAAACAATATCTCAACAATTTTTCATGCCATTAACAGGTAATATAACCATGCAGCATCTACTTTTCATGAAAACAAAAAAGTTTCTCTCCCTTGGCATCTCATTGGCACGATCTACAAGCCAATCATAATTTCCCATTAATCTCTCCAGCCTCCAATGCTAATTGTAGTACTTTTCATGTGTTACAAACCTCTGTAACAAGGTAATAAGAACGGCATAGTTTTTGACACTGATACAAGGAGTCCTGCTTGGATACTGCAAAATAAAACAGAAACACCACGGAAAGTTGGCAACAACCAGGGCCATCCAAAACACATTGTTTGATTTCAGGTGTTATGGAAGGCTTAGAGTAACTGCATTGGCAGTGCAGTTACCATCTAGTCTATAAACAGTTCTCTGCTACAAAATGTAAATATTCTTGCCAAATTCAACAGCATCTTTGGCAGTCTTACCCTTGTGCCAAAGGCACCATGTTATCCACTATTATTTTATCCTTGTTCACAAAAGTGTCATTTTCATCACATTGCTCACCTCGATCTGTTCTCTTGCTGGATCATTTAATTGCTCCTTTTGATCAGTGATGGACTTCAGACATTCCTCACTTGCGAACTGATGATGATTTTCAGATTGTGGGCTTCTCATCCCATTACAGGGTAACCCTATGATGACAGGAATGTCAACTTCTTTTGTTATACACTCTTTTACATCAAATTCTTTGGCAGTTTCTACACCTGCTTTGCCCTTCTTACCTGCAGATCATTGTCCATATATGTACTTGAGAATAAATATATATAATCAACAAAGTATAAATGAAGCAGTTAGATACCTCCTGTTGAAGGTTGCGGGCTTTTGACTTGTAATTTTTGTGGTCTTCCCTTTTCTTTCACAGCTCCTGACGCACAATGGTCCAATTCAACAACTTTCTGTGGTTTATCCTGCTGCATCAGCTAAAGCAACATTCCTGATCATGTTGAGCAACAAACAAACAAAATTGGGAGAAAACAAGTACAATTACAACAATCACTCGGTTGAGTGTCCACGCACACAAGTGCACAGAGTTTCAACCATAAATTGGCCACTATTAGAATGCCGTAAATGCGTTGTTCATGGAGAACATTTTATGTTAAAAATAACTTGCATTTTTAACCAAGAGATAAAGTCATTCACATGTGAACAGTAGGTTTATTGTAAATTTATAATTTTCCAAACAAGTAAATATGATTGTTTCTGTGTACCAAGGCACTGACAGAAATATGCTTCCTCCAACCATGCACAAGTAACACTGGAGCTGGTGATGAATAATATAACATATAATAAATGATAGGAATAAATGGACTAATACAATTTTTGCTTAGCCTCAACGACAGTAGAAGCTGACCTTCCAAGTTCAAACAAGTGAATAAATGGACTAGTACAATTTTTGTGATGGATCTGCTATGTCAATTTTATTTCTTTCTATAGATCAAAGTTCGGATGTAAAGAAAGATCAAAGGCAAAAAATATAATGCGGGGCATTTTATCCCTTGAATTGAGGTGCAAGCCTTGAGGCATCAAGGCATAAGCACTTTGAATTTTTATATTTAACAAATAAATAAAATATTTTAAAATGGTAATATTAAGTGTGAATTTTTTTCTTCTCAAGACATCGAACATTTCATTGAAAAGAAAAAGGTTTACTCTTATCAAAGGTGAAATCGATATTCTTAACTTCAATTATTGAGTTTCTCACTTGAGACTTAGCTTTATGCTTTTTCTCGGTAGGTCATTTACTTGATTTTTCCCATCAAGTCTACAATTACAAAAGTTCTTTTTTTAAGTTTAAAAATTAAATCATGAATAAGATTAAAAAGTTTAACAACCACCGAAAGTAAGCTCTCTACATGTACTCCCCAAGTTATTACGCGCAAAAGACATACAAGATGCACGCTTCAAACTGTTATGTGCAAGCCTTTGGGGAGTATAACCTTAAAATTAAAGCGTCAATGACTTTTTTCCTTAGCCTCGCCTTGAAGTGAGCCTTAATAACACTTTTTAAAAAAACTTGTGTAGGATCAAACATCTCATTAAGGATTTAGAGATGATATTTGACTCACAATTTTCTTTCCACGAGAACGGCTCCGAGGTTTAGTAAAAAGTTGATCACCATCCATGGATTGTTTTGAGCAATTGGTTCCAGCACCACCGGTGGATGGGCTTGAAAAACTAGGAAGATTTTCTTCACATGTTGCCTGTACCAACATTGTATTTAATTGATATGGGGTGAGAGATGGGGTCTCTGGTGCATTTCCTTCTTTCAGCTTCTTGGATGGCCGCGAATGTGAAACCTCAATATCAGGGTTCTTCTGCTTCGTCTTCTTTCTCAGTGATGCCATACCACGAGAAGATGGTGATCCATCGCAGGGAGTTGACTGCTCAGTTTGATTCTCTCTTGAGTTAATGGATGGGGTTTTCTCTTCAGATTTATCCTTTGTAACACCTGAACTAGCAAGTTGAACAGCCATCTGAGTGTTGTTAAGACCAATGCAGGCATTCCCTACGTGCTCTTCATAATCCGCTGGGATTAAGACATCCTGAAACAAAAATCCATTACTTCGCCTAGTGAACTGAACTTCTATATTCCCCAACTCAAATACTTTTTATGAACTAAACCATCTCAGCTAGTGAATCTAATTTTAGTAAAAACACCTAACAAACATAGGTGATGACCAAGTCAATCAGTCAGGCCACTGGTCTCTCACCCAATGTATCACACAAATTTTATTTCGATTTTACTCACAAGTATTATTTATAAATTTTTCATACTCTTCATTGTGAAAATCACTAATAATCATAAAGTTTTAAATAAAACTAAAATCAAGCATCCAATGATTAAAATTTAGCAAAGTACTCTATGAACCCTATAATCATTCTCAATGAAAGAAAAACAACATATTAATCTTTAAACTTTAAACTTAATATTGCAGTCAAGTGACTTCAAGATCCATGGCATCCTTATACTAATTGTCAAATCATTATCCCACTTGACCAACAAATGTTTCGCAAAGCTTTATGAAGTAGTGAGCCTTCGTACAAGGTGGAAAACTGAGGAAGCACAAATGTGAGACTGAATACAAGGTCACCAACCATTGATAGATAAAGCCTTTTTTAACTATGTTATATCAAAATAACAAACTTAGACATGAACAACCAAAATTGAAACTTATAATGTGTTATCAGGACATGTTAATGAATGATTCCACCAACTATACCTGTTCAACCTTCGAGATTTGTGGGCATAGAACAACAATATGCTAGTAAACACCATAATTTTGGTGGCAACTCTCCATATTTCCTCATATATGTCAAAATAAAGAGAATTAATTTTTAGGGCAAATTACATATACCCCCCTCGAGGTTTAACAAAATTACAGATACCCCCTGGAGTTTGAGAAATTACAGATACCACCCTGAAGGTTATATTTGCATAACAAATTAGGGAGCAAATTGTTATGAAAATACAAACCTCATGAGGCAATTTGTTATGAAAATATAAACCTCAAGGGGGTATCTGTAATTTCCAAAACCTCAGGGGGTATCTGTAATTTAGCTAAACCTCAAGGGAGGTATATGTAATTTGCCCTAATTTTTTTAGGGCCATCCAGAAAGGTAAATCCAAAAAGAAATTTGCCAGTGGATAATATAAGGAGATTATAGATATCTATGACAATGTGCAACATGACAATCATGGCCCAATCCACAGACATTGTGGAAGAAGAAATTTTTTAGAACATAAAAGGAAGAATGAAACTTAACCCATAAAAGATATAAAAGCCTGGGTCCCCCAAAACAGAAAATGATCATACCTGAGAAGCAGCAATCCATTTGCCATCAATCCATTCCATGTGAGGTCTCAGGTCTGACTGATTGAGTTCCATGTCCTTGTTTGTATGCTTAAAATAGACAATATACCTTCTATCAGCAAGTTCTTTGGTAATCACTCCACTCTTCCAGCCAGAATTATAGAAAGCATCCACCTTTTCCAACAAAACAAAATTTCTTCCCTTGAGATCAGGAGGAGAAGGTCGAATATGCAGCAAATCAACAGTTGCTTTTTGAAGCTCAGCCTCACTCCCATTCCCTAAACTCCAGTACTCCACCACGAAAGAGTCATTCCCCAAGTCTTCAAGGACAGTTGCTGGGAACCAAAAATCACGATAATCTTCTTTGTCAAAAGATACTTCTACCCTTTTTCCTGCGCTAAACTTCAATCCTGTTGTTCTCTTTTGAGAATTTAAAATAAAATAAAATAAAATAAATCAGAATCAAGGTTTTAAAATTAAATTGATAGCATATACAAAGGTATCAGCATCAGCTCAATGATTTGTGTCAGAACAACGACTTTTGAGTGTTCCAAAATTGAAAAACAAAGATAATTGGAATAAGTTTGGGGTTCACCTTGCCCAAATTATAAATGGAATAGCTTAATATTAAACATGAGTCACAAAAGGTGTTACCATTGCAGTAATCTTTTTTCCTTTTTTTAGAAGGCTAGCAATAAAATAGAGCAACATACAACTCAAAGAGCAAATTACTACATGGGAATTTTCCTTCCCCTTCTGTCTTCCTCAATCTGATCAAAAATATATTTTTTTATCAGTAGAAAAGGTATAAAAATATCATTATAAAAAATAAAAAACTGATTTCCTATATCATTGACCAGCCCTGCCAATAAAAAAAAATCAGCTGCCCTATATCAAATGCCCAACCCTTTTGTTTAGAAGAATAGATGAGTAAGGTCCATTCTCCAGGCCCATCTCTAAATAAGAGAAACTTGATAAATAGATAGCTACTGTTGAAATTTCAACCAAAAAAAAAGGGGAAAAAAAACATGCTTCTTGGTTATAACTATGGTCCCTAACCCAACTCCATCATGACCACGAAAGGAAGCAATGAGACTATTGAACAAAGATAATACTCCTTAACTTGAAGAAAACCCCACACTATGATACCAATTCAAGCTGATGATAGGATACAATCCCCAATATGTTGTAACCAATGAGAAATCAGTATCAATCAAGTGATTAGTTTTAGTTGGTACTGGGTTGTTCTAGTGGGTCGAAAGTCTACTATATAAAATGCACAGAGCATTGTATCATATCATCCATGCTTTTGTAATTGAACCTTGTGAAGTTCTTAAACTAAAGCTACAATGCAGTTTTCTCTTATGTGTTCATATAGTTCACTACTCATGAAATTAAACTCGTGTATAACAAACACAGTTAACATCCTATTACAATAAGCGGATACCAACAATTACGAGATCAATGACCGTGTAGCATCTTAATAAGAACAATGCATGAGAATCATAACAAGATACTAACTAAGGTTTACAGGAATAAATGAATTCATAATTAATCAGGATAGCTAATCCTTCTATTTTTTTATCATCTATCACGTTGAATAAAAAGATTGGGAAAATATTGTTGATTCATAAATTAATGAACTCTCAAACAGCAAACGAAAACAAGATGAATTGAATGAAGCCAAGAACAAATAGAAAACTTATATATTTATCAATCAAGATTAATTTCACTTTTATCCCCTACACTATCAATTTCATCCATTTAGTCCCTAAAGTTTCTGATTTTTATCATATAATGCAATTGCAGACAATTTGAATTTGTCCAAATCACTAATAGTAAAACCCTACGTAATGGAGAAAAAGGTAATTTCACAATTTCAACAACCTAAATCATACAACCAAACACCCATCTTCTTACTCACACTATATATGACAACTTACACCACACAACCAAACACTCATCCTTTAATCCACCCTTCATTTCAAAATAATGATTTTATGACTTAAGTTGTTCAAATTTTGAAATAAACATTTTGTCCATCAAATTAGATTTAGCTGGTACTGATTTGGACAACAGTCTCCAATTAAACTATAGTAGTTGAAATTAAAAACTTTCAAGGATTAAATAGATGAAAGTAATGCTTTAAACATGAAATAGATAGAAGAAATTAATACTTTAAACATAAAACAGATAAAATAGCGATAGTCTTGCAATACAAATGAAATTTATCCTTTAAATTACAGCAATTTTTTCTAATTCATACCTAAATTATTGATTTCATCCTATTAGTCTCTAAATTCCTGATTTCAGTTCATATGGTCCAACTGGAAACCATCCGACCAAATGAATAATGATGAAACCCAACTTGATGGGTAAAAATGTTGTTTTAAAATTCAACAGCTTAAACATTACAATTTGAACAATTTAAACTGCACAACCAAACACTTATCTTCTTCTTCTTCAACTCTCACTTTAAATTAGTGAACAAAACAAATGATTATTTGATCATATGGTTTAAGTTATTCAAATTTTAAAATGACCTTTTTGCATATCAAATTAGGCTTTAAGGATTAACTACTATCAAAACAAAAGGCAAAAATAAGAGATTAATGCTGTGATTGGTTCATGGATTTGAAAGACAAAGGAAAAATGTAGATGAAATGTAAATGAAATATAAGTTATAACTACATTTCACACCCCTTTTCCATTTCCCTTTGCAAATTCCTTGGCAAATCCATGAACCAAACACAGATTAAGTGAAATTAACCCAGAACAAAACGAATTGAATGAAGCCACATTTCACCAACATTTCACACACATTTCCCCCTTACCTTTCCAAACTACTTCCCGAATCCATGAACCAAACACAGCAAGTAAAAACTAACCCCCAAAAAAAAAACGAATTGAATGAAGCCACAGACAAAAAGAAAAATTTATACTATACATTATCAATCGTGAATAGCATATGCACGTAAGAACAAAAAGCATGCACGAAACAGAACCCAAAAAACCCTAGAAATCAAATCCCAGCATAGCATCACATTCTGGCCAAAATCAAAGCGCATAGCATAAACCCCCAAAACACTAGAAAGCAAAACCCTAAATCCATACCTGCTTTTCGGGTAGGACCCATTTGCCGTCGACCCACTCCCGGTGAACCCGCAACTCCGAAACCCCAAACTCGATCTCGTCGGGAGGGTTCTGGAAAGTGACTATGAACCTGGAATTGTTGAGAACTAGGGTGATGACACCAGTCCACCATCCATCACGGTAAGACGCATCGACGACATCGTATAATTCGAAGGAGGGAACAAGGTCAGATTCTGAAGAAGGAGGAGGAGGTAAAGGCCTAACGAAGTCGGGTTTGACGTGTTCTCTCAAGGGGGTAGAGCCATCGTCGTCTAACAAGCTCTGATACTCGACGAAGAACAGGTCGTTCTTCTTCTTCGAAGAGGGAGAGGAAGACCTGTAAGAAGAAGAAGGGGTGTCGAGGATGGTGGCGACGTACCAGGCACCCTTGAAGCCCTCCTCGTCGCTGCCGATTTCGACCAGAGAGCCCTTGGGGAATAGCTGCTGCTTGCGCTGAACACCAGCACCACCACCAGCACCGCGAGAACCACCCATTTTTGCCTCTTCTTTTTCCTTTTTAGGACATTAAAATGCTCCTATGACAAAACCCTAGCTCTTTTTTATTTTTTTATTTTTTTTTTTTTTTCACACTATGCAGTAACAAATCTGTTTGAATGCAGTAGTTTGGTGGGAAAATTAATGAAAACAAAAATAAAGAGGGAAATTCTAATATTCACTCTTTTGAGATGGGTGTATTTTGAGAAGTTAGTAAAAGATAAATTTTTTGATCTTTTTATAATTTTTTGACTTTTTTGGTCCTGTTTGTTATAACATAAAAAAGTTAAAAAGTCATTATTCTATTTGAGTCAAATCATTTTATTTAAGTCACGTCACCTCTCTATTACATCACTTCAAACTTAACTCATACCCAACCTATATTTCATAAAAAATTAAAAAATGCACTTATTTAGAACATCTCAAACAACTCCAAAAAAGTTAACTTTTTATGGGTTTTTTTTTTTGTAAAAAAACTAAAAAATCAAAAAACTAGTTTTTTTTAGAAGTTTCCAAAACACCGTGCTTGGTTCTGTTTTTTAAAAAATTCTATTTTCTTATTTTTCGTATTTTTTTGTTTTAACTGATTTTTTTAATATTTTAAGCAAAATTTTTTATTTTTTAGACATACCTAACATAAATATACCTAAAAAGTAAAAAATTTGTGAAATTTTTTTTAAAAAAATTCATTAAATACTAAAAATACAAAATTAAAAAAATACGAGAATTCGGTACATTTTTTATATTTTTATATTTTTATTAATTTTTTAAAATATTTTTTCATAAATTTTTTACTTTTTAGATACATCTAAGTAAGGTGTATCTAAAAAAGTAAAAAAAATGTTTAAAATTTTAAAAATATTCACTTTAAAAAACACGAAAATCAAAAAAACTCAATTTTCAAAAAATTTAATCATAATTCAGTAATTTTTTAGTAATTTTAGTAATTTTTAGTTATAATAATTTTAAATTTTTTAGTAATTTTTAAATTTTTTATTAAAAAATTAAAAAAAAAATTTAAAAAAATAATGTGATAATTTATAATAATTTTTTGACTAAAATACTTAGGCCAAGTTTGGGAAGTTTCAAATAATCCATCTTTTTATCTTTTTACCATCACATCACCTCTCTACTTTCTGCACATATTTTCATAAAAAGATAAAAAGTGCACTTATTTAGGTCATCCCAAACAACCCCTTAGTCCAGTCTTTTTAGTTATGACATTATTTTTGTGTTTTCCAAATAAAAAGAAACATATTATTTTTTATATAGACAAAAATATTAAAGGTTTCAAAAGATTTACCAAATATTTTACATTGGTGTATGACTCACATGTGACCCACATTTGTGGGCCTCATACCCATATGAAACATTTAATAAAATTTTAATAAAATATTTGGAGCCTCTATCATTACTCTTATATAGATAATGAGTAATTATAAAAATTGTAATTACAAAGAGCAATTATGTCTTCGGTTGGGAAGCCAAGTTTGGGGCTTTTTTGATATTTTAGCCACAAAAAATAAAATAGGTTTTTTAGTCCAATAAGGCAAAACATCACATCCAACTCATAATCATTACATTATTTCTCTCACAAAAAAATCAAAAGTCCTTATCAAACGAAATTTTTTAGCCTCGAATTAAAATAGTTAAAAAAATCAAAAAGTCAACCTACTTCCCAAACGAACATAAAGAATGTACTCGGTTTATGAATTTATATAGATATTTGGAAGAAGAAAAATATTTTTGAAACGTGTGCTAAATGTAACTATATTTTACTAACATTTTACCTACATTTTTTCTTTTATTTATAAATTCCTACTAAAATTCAAGAAATGGGCGTATTATATGGATTAAGGCCTCATTTAGTAATATATTATTTTAGTAATTTTTTAACTTTTTATGAAAAGATACGTAGAAATTAAAGGGTGTTTGCGGTTCGGTTTTTGACGATTTGATTTGTGATTTGGACCTGCCCACATATGTGTGATTTGGGAAAAATTGAACCTACAATTGCCCGCAATGTAGGTTGCGGTTTGCACGGATAGGGTTGCGGGCAGTTTGTGGATTGGACTTTTTTCTTTAAAAATTTGTTTTTGGGTCTTTTTTCTCATTTTATAAATATTTATTTTGAGCCTTTTTCCCCTTATTTTCTAAAATGCTGAACATTAATAATTAAAAAATTAAAACTTATAAAATTAAAAGTACAACAAAATCAATTCATAACACAAGGTAAATCATTCAAATAGAATAACACATTGATTTTTTTATTTTTTAGCTATTTTAAGTTGGGGTTAAAAAGTTTGTTTAGGTTAGGTTTTTTTATTTTTATGTGATAAAAAATAAAATGATTATTGTTTGAATATGATATTTTATTTTATTAATTTTTTAGTCTATTTTAAGTCCTGCCAAACAATGGCAACGAGTCCCATAAAGTTTGGATAGTTCTTTGGTTGGTAATTGTATTTTTAATTTTTTTTTGAGTAAATCATAAATACATTTCTTAAAATTTATTTAAAATACGATTTATCTTATATGATTCTAAAAATTACATCTTACCTCTTAAAGTTTTAATTTCATAACACATGACATTTTTTATTTATGAATTATCAAGTCAATTAACAATTTTTAATGATATCAGAAATTTATTTTAATTAGTAATTCAAGTAATTTTATAATTTTATATAAGAGCAGTTAGAAAATTTTGTTTTTTAATTAATTTTGCTAAATGTAAAATTCTAATAGGGGGATATGTGTAATTTTTTAAACTATATGAAGCAGTTTGTATTTTAAACAAATCTCAATGGATATACTTATAATTTACTCTCTCTTCTTCTTTGTTTTTTTTTTGTTAACTTCCTTTGTATTTAGTGAGTTTTAAAAGAAATTTTTTTCTTAAATTTTAAATTCTATTAAATTATATATATTTTAAAATTTACTATAAAAAATTCAAAAAAATAAAATAAAATTGTGATATTTTGAATCCCTCCCAAATCGATCAAAAAAACGATTAATTTGATTTGTCATTCCAAATTGGGAACTGGACCAAAAAGACAAAACATAAAAGAATCTCTCTCTTTAACATACCCTAGCTTTACATATATTTATTTATTATAAAAAATAGGGAGACTTATTTATAAGTTCTATTTCGGACACTTATGCTATGTTAAGTTTTGTGTAATTTTTTATAGAATTTAAAGTCCTATTTAAATAGAAATATATTCCACAAAATCCTATGAGTTGTAAATAAATGGTATTAATATACTATTAGAAAATTGAATGTTACTATAGATCATATCTATATGAATGTGAATTTCAAAATACATGAACAAGTAACATTTTCACATTCAATTTAAAAAATCAAAAAGAGGTAATAGAACCTAGGGGGCAGTTGTGGGGATATATTTTCTGAATACCAATACGTGGCATGGTGACGCCGACGTGTCAGCCGAGGTGCCACGTGTCGTGGTAGTTAAGCCGAGATGATCTCGGAGAAGCCGAGGTTATCTCCGAAGATATCGGAATCCGAGATAAGCGAATAAAGGACAAAAGTCCTAAGACGAAGAGGGGACTTGACCAAGATAAGGATAAAGCTCTTAGGGAGTTTATCTTTATCTCTTAAAGAGTCCAAAGTAAGCACTAAATTGGAGTTTATAGAAGTCATACTTCTAGTAGGACTTGGATTGAATATATTATAAAAGAGAGGCACCCCCGTGGGTCAAGGTACGCTATTTATGTTTTGAGTATTAAGTTTTGCACTTGATTATCTTTGAGAGATATACTGACTTGATCGTCGGAGTGCCCCCGGGTGGAAGAACCACCGCCGGAGCCTTTTCTTTCTGTTACAGGTTGCTGAAGCCATCTATTCTGCCTGTGCTCTCCAGTTGATCACTAAGCAGGCAATGTGGTCAGATTTTCACCCACACAATACTATAATGGCAAAATCATATTTAGGAAATTGAATGTTACTATAGATCATATCTATATGAATGTGAATTTCAAAATACATGAACAAGTAACATTTTCACATTCAATTTAAAAAATCAAAAACCTAGTAAGTTTACAAAACGTAACGTGACATGATACGTTACGTTTATGTAGGTATCACGTTACGTTTATGTAGGTGTCACGTTACGTTACGTTTATGTAATTCAATTTAAAAAATCAAAAACCTAGTAAGTTTGTGAAACGTAACATGACACGTTACGTTACGTTTATGTAGGTGTCACATTACGTTTCGCAAATTTAATCTATGGTAATATTCAATTTCCTATATATAGTTTTACCATTATTTATGATATTAACAACTAATATTGAGGGTAAATGTGTCAACAAACTTCACACTGGACTTATGGGAACATAAGTTTTTTAGTAGGACCATATGTAGCATAAGTCTCCCTAATAGGACTTATAAATAATTTTCCTTAAAAAATAAAACAATTCCACATCAAGCATTTTGCTTCTACAGGAAATTAATTCAATCAATTGAAGTAGTAATAGAGTAGCATATGGATATATCCCATTTAATTTTTGTTAAGACACAAATTTAAACCAAAGGCTTAAAAGTATTAACCCCGTATACCATTCAGTATAATCACCAACATCCTATTTACTTAGAGGGTTACTATATGTCCGGACCTTTCTTCTTAAGATCTCTCACTTCTTTGAACGCCTACCACTAAAATTATTCCATTCCTTATTTTTCTTTGGACCCTTACCATTATTCCAAATATACCCCTAACCCTCATTTTATCCATTTCCTCTATTTACAAACTCTCATTGCTACTGGCACCCCCCTCCAGCAGTGCCACTCCTTTCCTACCACCGCCATTCTCTTCTCCACTATTTTCCTATCACCCCAGCCCTTTCTCGTTCCTCTGTTTTCATCTTCTTCACACACATACACACATACATACATACACTCTCTCTCTCTCTCTCTCTCTCTCTCTCTCTCTCTCTCTCTCTCTCTCTCTCATATGTAGGCAGCTAGGATTTGAGATCTCAACGGAGATCTCTATGTTTGAGATCATAGATCGCGACGGCGG